CCTAAAGAGCTTCGCACACTGTTCTTCCTCGCTCTGCCTCTGCTACGCGATTTCTCTGTCTCTCTCGAATCTCCAGGTAACCTTCTTCGATTCTCCTCTTGTGTCGATCTCAACATGTAGAGTATAGAGATTGATAAACCTAAATGTAGATTTCCTCGAGATCTAATCGCAATCACTCGAAATCTGATTGTTCCGTCGATTCTGTTTTGCTGTGTCGTAGAAACCCTAATTTCTCCATCCCTGTGCGGTCTCAGAGCTTCCACATTCCCCAGAAACCATCTCTACCAAGTTTCAAATCGAAATCTGTGAGTCACTGAGTAGTGTTAAAAATCCACCGACATGTCGATCGATGAGGAAAACGGAACGTCTTCTTCAATCGAAGCTAAGAATGTTGTTTCAGAAACTATCAAAGAGACTTGGTATAGTGTTTTGCTTCGTCAAGCTTCGGTTTATGGTGTAGCTGCAGGGTATTGTATCTCAGCTTCTCTTCTCTCAATCATCAACAAATGGGCAATCATGAAATTTCCTTACCCTGGTGCTTTAACCGCAATGCAATACTTCACTAGTGCAGCTGGTGTTTTCCTCTGTGCTCAGATGAAGATGATCGAGCACGATTCGCTTAATCTCTTAACCATGTGGAGGTTTCTTCCTGCAGCTATGATATTCTACTTGTCCTTGTTTACTAACAGCGAGCTTCTCCTTCACGCGAATGTCGATACTTTCATCGTGTTTCGTTCTGCTGTTCCGATTTTCGTTGCGATTGGGGAAACGATATTCTTGCATCAGCCGTGGCCGTCTGTTAAAACGTGGGGTTCTTTGGCTACTATATTTGGAGGAAGTTTGCTTTACGTTTTCACGGATTATCAGTTTACTATCGCAGCGTATAGTTGGGCGCTTGCGTATCTTGTGAGTATGACTATAGACTTTGTTTACATTAAGCATGTGGTTATGACGATTGGATTAAACACATGGGGTCTTGTTCTCTACAATAACCTCGAGGCTCTGCTTTTGTTTCCTCTTGAGTTGCTTATAATGGGAGAGTTAAAGAAGATAAAGCATGAAATCACTGATGAGACTGATTGGTATTCGTTTCAAGTGGTTTTACCTGTTGGTTTATCGTGTCTATTCGGATTGGCAATATCGTTCTTCGGATTCTCTTGTCGCCGAGCTATTTCCGCAACTGGGTTTACTGTACTTGGAATTGTGAACAAGCTGTTGACAGTTGTGATCAATTTGATAGTATGGGATAAACATTCGACATTTGTTGGAACTTTGGGGCTCTTGATTTGTATGTTTGGTGGAGTCATGTATCAGCAGTCTACCATTAAGAAACCGAATGCTGCACAAGAAGCTAAACCGCAAGAGCAAGACGAGGAACAAGAGAAACTGCTAGAGATGCAGGAAAACAAGGAGAGTAATAGCATCGATATAAAGGAAGCTCCGAAAGCAGAAGAGAAAGTATGATCATATCAATCTACTGAAGATGGTAAACGGATTCATCTCTTATTGATTGGAAAATTGGCTTCCTTGCCTCTCTCTATTGATTGATATGTTGATTCTTGAAGCTTCTGAATAAAGACAACAAATGTTCGGAGCTTGCAGTAGCTGGAGGGTAAATTGCTAAGACGACGAGTTTCTTCGGTATTGATACAGTTTATTTTGAGAGTAGTAGTTAGTTAGTGGTTATGCCATTCTTTTGTAACTCGGAGGTAAGAGTAATGCGTTATTCGTTTGTTAAAATGAAAACGAACCTGATCTAGTAGTGGTATATCGTTTTCTTGTTTACATTTTGATGTGATTCAATCAAAACGAAAATTTCTTTGATTCACCTCGTGATGATTGTTTTGTTTGTAAGTTTGTAACTGTGTGTTACTTCTGATTTTTGATTCAGATTTCTGCCTGAATTGATACATTTCTTATTCGTTCTCGTTGAGAACTATTCTCAGGTAGAAAATAACAAATGTTTCAATTTTTTTGACCAAAAATGAAAATAGAAAAAATTTATTCGTCAACAGCAGGGTTCGAACCTGCGCGGGCGAAGCCCAACAGATTTCAAGTCTGTCTCCTTAACCACTCGGACATATTGACATTTTTGCTAAACGTTTGAACATATTAATATATAAATAATATTTTAATGAATAACAAATTTTCTTTAGCATGGTTGCGATTGAAAAATTGTTGAATTGCATATAATTATTATTTTAGCCAATATCATAGCGTTTGAAGATTCCCAGATCAGACTCCAAAAAAATCTTCTCTCGGGAATGTTGAAAGCTCTATTCCTCAAGCTAAAAAGGAAATTCATTTGCTCATGACACTAGTTTCTCCCCAAAAAGCTCTAATGGTATGAAGAATCTGAGCCTCACAGAGGTAAGAAACTGAATCTGGCTTGATAGTAATGAGTTCTTATTATACGTTCAAAATAATGTTAAATGCTACACTGAAGTTCCCAGTCTTGTTATGGTGTAATCTTTCATAATTCACACTGATTCATGACTTGAAATTAGCTTTCATACAGATAACCTACCATACCAGATACACCATTTACTCTATTAAATTATAAAACCTAAGAACACTGGGGCTAGAGAAGAAGCCATTGAACAAGGAGAGTAGGAGATATATTACAGAAAAAAGAAGCTATCAAATTTTGTTCGTAGTGTTTTGTTTTAACCAGGGGGGTTGTTTTGGTGCATGTTTGTACCCTGAATGTTGTGAAACTCCGTGGGTATTACGTTTTGGAACATTCCCGGCATCGTGTTGTGGAACTGCCCTGCCATTACCGCCTGCGCCGGTGTTGGAGCAGCCTGTCATGGAAAACAATCATAAAACCCTCAATTTGCAATTGGAATCCATATAGGAAACTAGACGTACCGCTTGTTGAAATCCTTCTTGGCTTCCCTCACCAACAGTCCCAGATTGAGTCACATGCTGCAGAAATGAAGAAAAATCAATGAAATATACAATCATGAACGAAGTTATGCATAAAATCATCGGGGGGGGTATGTATGACAGCTTAGCGAAAATTGTTGTTCATCTTTCTTGGCCGTGTGTATGATTTCGTAGTCTATAGATTCTGATGCCATAGGGTAAAAGAAAGATCTATCAGACCTTTGCTTTTTTAGATGCATTGTTTAGGCTACTTCTCTTATCCCTTCTGGCTTCAGCTTGTCCTGAAGCATTGCCTGCATGTATGTTAGGTTCGAGTCCAATCTGCTTCGATGTAGATCCATATTGATTTCCTTCTTGGACAGAAGGATCTCTCGGTTGAATTGCAGCTTCTTCAAACATTGCGGGATTTTCAATGGTATTAATTTTAATAGCACATTCTTTAAAAGCTTCTTTCATTGCAAACATGGCGACGTCATAACTTTCTTGGGAAAGAGATCCTTCTTCTCCCAATATAATGGCTCGCCGGCAAAAATCATTGAAACGATGGATATTAGACTGCACAATTTCAAGGTTTCCACTGATCTGATGTCTGTTTCTAGCTGCATTCGTCCATCTTTGCAGCACATAGTTTATCGGAATGGTGAAAACACCCGACATTTGGAGAACAACAATTGCGTGTCTACATAAATATCCTCTGTACTCAAAGGAACGGCAAGAGCAGTATATATCTGAATTCGATTCATTCCAATCCACCAAATATTTCTGATCGTCTTCAAAGTCCTTTACACTGTAAGTTGTTCCTTCCTCGCTCTCCTTCGTAAGGTGACAAGCAGCAGCACCCAGAACCTCAAGTTGGAATTTCCTGAATATTTCATGGGTGTATACATTTAACATCTGCTTCTCAAAAGGCGATGGAGATTTCACCTCAGGTGCTTCATGCCAAGCATCAAAATCTGCCTTAGCTTCCTCTTCATACCTATCTTCTAGCATTAGCCCATACTTTTCTAAGAAATCTTTAAGTGAAGTTTCAGCTTGAACATACCGATCAAACAAAGAATTGGCGCTTTCTGAACGATTACGTGTTGATAACCCCGCAAATGTTACCCCCCTCATAAAGGTAGGTGCCCAGAACTTACGTTCCTCATACAAAGACCGCATCCACTGAACATCTCTAAGATGAAACTTGTCTATCAATTTCAACCACCTCCTATCAAATTCCTCCTCAGACCATGACCTGTATATACATTTGAACAACTTTTTCATGAAAGTATCTTGCCACATGCTCCAATAGTCCAGATTCCGAGGAAGCCGGTCCAATACATGCCACAAGCAATAGCAATGACGAGTTTCCGGTAAAACAGCCGCGATTGCTGCTTTTATAGCATTGTTTTGATCAGTAAGCATTACTTTCGGCGTCGAACTACCCACTGCTACTAACCAAGATTGCATCAACCAGACATAAGTATAAACTGTTTCATCTGCAACCAATCCACAACCAAGCAACACAGGCTGTTCATGATGGTTAACTCCAATGAAAACAACCAGCGGAATTCTATACTTACTAACGAAATAAGTCGTATCGAAAGAAACAACATCACTGAAACTTTTGTAATCTTCAATCCCTTTTGCATCAACCCAGAACACATTCCTCAATACATGATCTTCACTGAAATCAACTGCGTAAAAGAATTTCTGATTCTCTTCCTGCATACGCATAAGAAACTCAAGCAAGATCTGAGCATCACCATTGGCTAAAACTAGACGTCTTCCTTTATCATGCTGATTCCTCATATAACCATCTAAAAAGCTAAAATCATGGTAAGCACTTAGATGTTTACAAGCAGGATTGTTCTTCTTCCTCCTAATCCTAGAATCTGATTTCACAGGATCAGTGTTGTTGTTTCTATGGCTCCTGAAAAAATGAGCTTGTTCTGGTAAAAGCTCGTGATTGTGCTCTTTAACGAAACTGTAAACGTACCATTTCCCATCAGGTCTTCGTTTCACATGCATACTCGCTTTGCAACCGATTTTGGGAGAAGCTCTAGGGTTAATCGCATCATCGGATTGCTGTTTGCTTCCGTAACGTATACAGGAGAATTTAGCATCGATGAATTCCTTTGAAGCTCTGGATCTTCGACTGCTCAGTTTCGCAGTTCCGAAACCAACTGATTTCGCGTAGTCTTTGTAAAACAAATACGCATCTTCGTGAGTCTCAAACTCCATTGGAAGAGACTTGAAATCCACACCAAATTCGATGCAGATCTGTGAACTAGAACACGCGAAAGAGGTCGAGTTACATAGATCATGAATCTCAGAGGCGATTCATCTTCACGAAAATGGATTTAGAAAGATGAGAAGAAACTCAGAGATTGAGCTGGAGAAAGCAAAACATTTTTGACATTTGAGAGAAACTCCGAAATGAGATATTGGGCTGTATTGGGCTTCAATTTCTTTTCTCAGCCTATCAAATGGGCTTTGACAACCGGATTCTAATCAGTGTTGCCGACAAGTAAAGGTATTGACTTATGGAAATGTAAAAGCTTATCCTAGGAAAAGTAGTTCTTTAAGAAACAAAAAAAAAATTTAAAGGTGAAATATAGCCGTTAAGCTATGTTTTATATCTAAATGAATATAAATATATAATCTCTCTTTTTTTGGTAAAAAAATGAATATAATCTTGATTACGATAAATTATAAGTAGCTGAAAAATTGAATAAAACGAGGGTATTTTTACGTATCATCTTGGTTATGATAAAATCATTATAAGACGAACAAAAATAAGAGTAGTATTTTACTATTTTAGTATATAGTTCTATTTTTGGTTAAAGATCTCGATGAGTTAATAATTACAATGCGGTTGGTAGTCGGTGACATTGAAAATACATGGACCATTGGACCGTTGAGCGTGGTAGAAGCAATAATAATAAGCGAAGAAAAATTAAGCCAAGAATTTGAAAACGCACATGCTGATAAAATATAGCCGTTGAGTTATAGACGCACAAAAGAGTCGAACTTTTTCTAGGGTTGCATCCAACGGCTGAGATTAACTAGCCGTTAATTTAAAAAAATAGAAATAAAAAAAACAAATTCGTAAAAACAACATTTTATTTTGTGTTACCGACATATATCCGCTCTTCTCTCGTCTTCAAATCTTTGATTACTCT